CGTCCCCCCCCCCCCCGCCCTAACCCACCAGACCTCACTCCCCTGCCAGAGCCGGGAGAGAACCCAGGAGTCCTGCCCCCCGCAGCTCTAACCCACCAGACCTCACTCCCCTGCCAGAGCCGGGAGAGAACCCAGGAGTCCTGCCCCCCGCAGCTCTAACCAACAGACCTCACTCCCCTGCCAGAGCCGGGAGAGAACCCAGGAGTCCTGCCCCCCGCAGCTCTAACCACCAGACCTCACTCCCCTGCCAGAGCCAGGAGAGAACTCAGGAGTCCTAGCTCCCTATGCTCTAACCCACCAGACCCCACTCCCTTCCCAGAGCCGGGGAGAGAACCTGACATTTGTTTCTCTTTCTCCTTCTTGTCTTCAGAGTTTTCACTCACAGCCATCGTCCTGCCAAACCTGGCACTCCCCTCCCCCAGCATGGCACCACTTGCCCTCAGCCTGGCACTCCCCTCCTGCCACCTCCCCAGCTCCCTCCCCCTAACTGTGGCCGGTCCCTCCGCACCCCAGCTCCCTCCCCATGCCTGTGGCTGGTGCCCGGCCCCTCCCCTCCCCAGATCCCTCCACCTGCCCATGACTGGTGCCCGGCCCCTCCCCTCCCTGGCTGGCACGCCTCCCCTGCCCCACCCGCACCAGCCCCTCACCTCCATGGCGCGCACCCACATGCAGAGGGACTTGGCGGCGAGTGAGACGCGCCCGATGATGTCAGGCTGGAAGTCGGGCTGGGAGCAGTACCCGCTGATCTTCTTCAGCACCTTGTCCGAGATGTTGTCCTTGTCGAAGTTGATCAGCTGTTTGATGAAGGTGGCCTCTCCTGGGGGGGCACCGGGATCAGGGGGGGCGGGGCCTGGGGACTGGCACACGCTGGGCACAGCCTGCCTGGCAATGACCCGCGAGGGGCAGCCCGTCTCGGGGCCCAGCAACCCTCTGGGTGCCGGGCAGGGCCCTGCCTGCTCCTCCAGGCTGCTGCTGGGATCCCACTGCACACGGAGCAGCAGGACAGGGTGCCCACTGTGCCCACCTCACCCACTGCCCACCTCACCCACTGCCCCCCAGCCCAGTGCCAGCCCTCAGCTACCCCTGCACTGTCTTCTGCACCCCAACCACTGCCCGCCTCCTCTGCCCCCCAGCCCAGCGCCCGGCCCTCAGCTCCCCCTGCACTGCCTCCGGCGCCCCATCCACTGCCCGCCTCCTCTGCCCCCCAGCCCAGCGCCATGCCCTCAGCTCCCCCTGCACCGCCTCCTCCGCCCTAGGTACTGCCCTCTTGCTCGCAGGCTCCACCCCTTAGTTCTCCCCCCAACCCCAGGCTCCTCCCCCTCAGCCCAAGCCCCGCCTCCCTTGGTCTCCATCTGCCCTGGCCCCTCCCCACTCTTCACCCAGCTGCCTCTTGGCTTCAGCCCAGGTCGGCTCGTTGCCGCGCAGGATCATGACGGCCTGCATCACCGTCTCCACCAGCGTGGGCGGGCGCCCGTAGGACTTGATCTCCGTCATGTCCTTCTTGTTGAGCGACTCCAGGGCCTGTGGGGGCGGGGAGGCAGGTCGGGGAGGTGCCCGAGGGGAAGGGCCCCGCTGCCAAGGGCTCTGGAGCACCACCCGCAGGACAGACCCCAGAGCCAGAGCAGCTGGGTCCCACCCCTTGGCCCGTTACCTTCATGGCCTCCTCCAGCGCGGGCAGCGCCTCCTCCAGGTCCTTCTGCGCGTTGTCAGCCAGCGTCTTGCACTTGATCTCCTCCGCGGCGATCTTCTCGCTGTTAGCGCCCACCGTCTGGGGAGAGGGGCCAGGCAGGGCAGCCGTGGGGCCGGGGCTTTGCCGAGTCTCCCCTCCTGCCCCACGCCCTCACCGCACGTCTGGATCCGGGACCCCCCACGCCCGTCAGCCCGCGTCCGGATCCGGGCCCCCCACGCCCGTCACCTGCGTACAGATCCGGACCCCCCGTTCCCATCACCCTGCGTCCGGATCCGGGCCCCCCATACCTGTCAGCCCGCGTCCGGATCCAGGCACCCCGCGCCCATCAGCCCACGTCCGGATCCGGGCCCCCTGCGCCCATCAGCCGAAGTCCTGATCCAGGCCCCCCCGTGCCTGTCAGCTCGCATCCGGATCTGGCCCCACCGTGCCCGTCAGCCCATGCCTTGATCTGAGCCCAGCGCCAACCCCCACACTCAGATCCAAGCCTTGCCCCTGCACCCATCAGCCTGTGCCTGGATCCGAGCCCAGCCCCTGCCCCCGCCCGCCTCACCTTCTGCTGCTCGTCAGCCTCTCTCTTCTGCCGCACGATGATGACCAGGTACTCCTCACACTGCTTCTGGAACTCCGCCACCTTCTTCTTGGCGTCCTCCAGCTCCAGCGACATCACCTCCACCTTGTGGCGTGTCTCGTCGATCTTGGAGAGCCCGTTGCGCAGCTTGTTGGCCTGGTCCGAGAGCTCCTTGCGCTTCTCCGCCAGGAGCCTGCGGGAAGATGGCCCCGGGGCCCTCCCACCTGAGCCACGCCCCGCAGCGCCGGGCGGGGCTCTCTGCCAGGCTACAGCCCCCACGATACACCAGGGACCCCTCTGATGCATCCCCAAGAGGGGACAAGGCAATGCCTCATGGGAGATATAGTCTGACTGGGGCGCCTGCCTAGAGAGGAGGATGGGAGCACGAGGCACCCGAACTACAACTCCCATGAGCCACTGCGGTGCCCGTTGCCAATGAAATATTTCAATCCGGGGCTGAAACAACATTTGCCATGGGAAACCCGCCCCCCCTTTTCCCATCAATTCTGGGCCTCAGCCCAGGGATGGGGCTACCAGAGCCTGGCAGATCCCCTCGGCTCCCCTGCCCCCGGGGAGACCCCTCCGCGTCCAGGCAGATCCCCTCGGCTCCCACTGGCCCACCCCCGGGGAGAGCCCTCCACGTCCAGGCAGATCCCCTCGCGCTCCCACCGGCCCCTCGGCTCCCCAGCCGGTATCCCGGTGGCCAGCCCGCGGGACCGTGAGGCAGGGACTCACTTCTTGTAGCCCGAGACCAGCTCCAGGTAGTTGGTGGGGGTGACGTAGTTATGGCGCCGGAGCTCCAAGAGCATCTTCTGCGAGTAGGAGGCCACGGACCAGTGCATGGTCACAAAGATCCTGGCCACTTTCTTGTGGATCTGGGGAAGCAGATGGGTCCGGGTCAGCAGTGGGGAGGGGCGCCCAGACTGGGAGGGGTTGGTGGAGGGGAGGGGGCACCACCAGGGGCCCTGCACCCCCCTTGAGGGAGAAGATGGGAAGGGACCAGCTTTCGAGTAACCGATGTGTCTGCAGGGGGCACGGAGATGCAGCCACCTCTGAGGAGAGGCATGGCTGGCTCCAGGAAGGGGCGCAGATGGACGGTTGGCTCCGGGGAAGGGTTTGGCCAGTGATGGCGGCTCTGGGGAGGGGCACGGCGGCTGTCTCTGGGGAGGGGTGTGGCTGGTGATGGCAGCTCCGGGGAGGGGCGTGGCGGCTGGCTCCAGGGAGGGGCATGGCTGGTGATGGCGGCTCCGTTGAGGGTGGCCGGCTGGCTCTCAGGAGGGGTGTGGCTGGTGATGGCGGCTCTGGGGAGGGCGGCTGGTTGGGTCTGGGGAGGGTGTGGC